TGGTGGCTGTAATCCCAGCTACTTGGAAGGCTAAGGTATAAGAATTGCTTAAACCTTGGAAGCAGCAGTTGCAGTGAGCCAAGATCACACCACTGCACTGCAGCCTGGGTAACAGAGCAAGACTCTGTCTCTAAAATAAAAAACAAAGAAGATGATGTTAAGAAATGCCTGGATGCCCAGGCAGAAGTTTGCTGCAGGGGTGGGGCCCTCAAGGGGAACCTCTACTAGGGTAATGCAGAAGGAAAATGTGGGGTGGAAGCCCCCACACAGAGTCCCTGCTAGGACACTACCTCGTGGAGGTGTGAGAAGAGGGCCACCATCCTCCAGACCCCAGAATAGTAGACTATGGGAACCTATATCTTGCATCAGCATGAACTGGATGTGAGACAAGGAGTTAAAGGAGATCATTCTGGAGCTTTAAGATTTGACTGTCTGTTGAATTTTGGACTTGCATGGGGCCTGTAGTCCCTTTGTTTTGGTCAATTTCTCCCATTTGGAATGGCTGAATTTACCCAATGGCTGTACCCCCATTGTATCTAGGAAGTAACTAATTTGTTTTTGATTTTACAGGCTCATAGGCAGAAAGGACTTGCCTTGAGGTAATGCTGAAATGAGCTGAGACTTTGGGGTACTGTTGGGAAGGCAAGATTCATTTTGAAATGTGAAGATATGAGATTTGGGAGATGCCAGGGCAGAATGATATGATTTAGCTCTGTGTCCCCACCCAAATCTCATCTTGTAGCTCCCATAATTCCCATGTGTCATGGGAGGGACCTAGTGGGAGATGACTGAATTATGGAAGCAGGTCTTTCCCGTGTTGTTCTCATAATAATGAATGGGTCTCAATGTGATCTGATGGTTTTACAAATGGGATTTGCCCTCCACAAGCTCTTTTTCTGCCTGCTGCCATCCATGTAAGATGTGACTTGCTCTTTCTTGCCTTCCACCATGATTTTGAGACCTAATCAGCCATGTGGAACTGTGAGTCCAATTAACCCTTTTTCTTTTGTAAATTGCCCAGTCTCAGATATATCTTTATCAACAGGGTGAAAACAGACTAATATACCAGTGAATCACACACATTGAGGCTGAGGTCCAATAAAGGCTGAATCTTTAGTTCCTAGTTATACACCGAGCTGGTGGCAAAGCAAGGATCACAAGTTTCAACTATTAAGTCCTGGTCTATTACCCATTCCCTCACCCTAAGGATCCCTGATAACTATAACATGCTTACAGAGGGCAGGAAGTATCTCACTTTTTAGTACATAAGGTACCTAGGACAGTATCTTGCAACAACTGCTTGATGGATAAACCAATAAAAAAGAACTTCCTTTAAATGATTATATAATTTAGATATTCCTCAAATTCAAGTTTGTCTCTCCTCTAAATTATTCTGAATTAGATGTATAATACTAGCATTAACGAAAGCAATAATTACAGATTTACTGAAAGACTAGATCTTTGACCGAAATTTTATCAACTATTCAAGACATTTGTATATAAGAAAGCAAAACCCTAGAGACATAGGAACAAATAGAGTATTTAGAAAATGTGCTATGTATAAGATATGTATTTTAAGGTAATAAAATGTATCTTAAGGGAATAAAAATCCTGTCTCAAAACTTGTCTCAGTGATTTATATACATATATAGTTTGTGCTAAGTCACAAAGTATTTCCTACAGTGGATAACTATCAAAAGTTTGAAAGCCTCTGTTGCAGAACTTACCATTTTTTTGGCATGTTCTTCACACAGAGGTGTCTGATGTGTAATGTCAAAAACTGGCACAGAGCACTGCTGTCCATCTGCAAACTTGGCTGTGCAACTTGAGAAGAGCTGCTGAGAGTGGTTCAAGAGGATATCTGGGTTTTTTGTAAGTTAGGAATAAAATACATTGAAACTCTAATTTTCAATTTCTATATAGAATTTGCTTGTTCCCCTACTTATGTTTAATAAGTTCAAACTTTATTATCCATAAAAGTTATAAAGTACTAGCTCAACTACTGATATGGGAAAATAATAGTAGGATTTATCCGATGGCAACTCTGAAGGACTCTATTTTGCTAATGGGATCCTGGCACCAGTCTCCTTAATGACCATTCTGAACCAAACTGTGTTATTTGGAAAAGCAGGGTCATTTCCTTCTTAACATGTGAACTCCATTTAAAGTTCCACTTAATGGTTTCTGTTTTTTGTTTTGAGATGAAGTCTCGCTGTGTTGCCCAGGATGGAGTGCAATGGCACTATCTCAGCTCACTGCAACCTCCTCGCCTTCCGGGTTCAAGCAAGCAACTCTCCTGTCTCAGCCTCCCACGTAGCTGGGATTGCAGATGTGTGCCATCACACCTGGCTAATTTTTTGTATTTAAGTAGAACTGGGGTTTCACCATGTTGGCCAGGCTGGTCTTGAACTCCTGACCTCAAGTGATCCACCCACTTCAGCCTCCCAAAGTGCTGAGATTACAGGTGCAAGCCACCACGCCTGGCCAATGGTTTTTATTTTTATTTTTTAACAGCTCTTAAAAGGAAAATTTTCTGCCTATGGTACTTACCAAGATTAAAAATTTAAAGATATAATTATTAAAAACCCATCTTTCCAGAGTTGACTATTTTGCTTCACATTTCCAGCAGCAAACTCACAACTTATGAAAAATTACCTTTAAATCAAAACTTTACTATTGGCCAGGCACAGTGGCTCACACCTATACTCCCAGCACTCTGGGAGGCCAAAGGAGATGGACTGATTGAGCCTCAGGAGTTCAAGATCAGCCTGGGCAACATGGTGAAACACCACCTCTACAAAAAAGTACAAAAATCAATCAGGCATGGTAGTGCATGCCTATAGTCCCAGGTACTGAGGAAGCTGTGATGGGAAGATCACCAGGGCCCAGGCACATCGAGGCTGCAGTGAGCAGAGATTGTACCACTGTACTCCAGCCTGGGTGATAGAGTGAGACCCTGTCTCTAAACAAACAAACAAACAAACATGGGTTTTACATCATCAATATTTTTAACCACTCATACTTTTAGCTACTACGTTTCCTTAAGACTTATATCTATTAAGGACCTTTGTGTTTTTCCTTTATGGTTTTTAGGTAAAACTATTTATAAAGCCTTTATTACATAGAAAGTGTGCTGAAAAAGCTGTTCTAAGAACAGAAAGGAGGGCAAAAATTAAATAGATGGTAAAGTAATTATTATTTTTAAATGTTAATTTTAAAATATTCAATAAAAGTCACAGCTACAAGATTTCATCACCAACCTAAAGCTCCTTAACAGAGGTTTCCTCAAGTATACTGTTTAAAAAGAGATCTTCTTTCCTAGTCAGTGATGTTTGTCACCTTTCATTCATTTGAAATCAGCACTGTACTCACTAAAAAGAGTAAACTATTCTTACAGGAAAAAGTACTGTAGGAGTGTAAAACCGTGTAACTGTCTTAGAAGACTAAAACCAGTTTTTAAATAACGTGATTTGATTTTTTTCCATCTATGAATGTTATAGCTCCTTCTCATAAGCTACCAGGAATCACCTGAGGGACCAGAATCCTATTAACAAAATATAATTAAGTGATAGACACTAGAGGAACTTGCCATTTGCTATCAACTTTACTTGTTTTGTTATGATGTTTGAATAAAGCAGGAAAAATTATTCAGAGAACATCATGAAAATTATAAGTTATATAAAATTATTTTAAACATTAAACAGTTATGTCATTCACTTGATTTAAAAATGAAATATATGGCCCCAAATTAGGTAGTACTTTTTCAATGCACATTCCATTGAGTTGAAAGGATACGTTGGAAACAATGTCTGGTGAATGGAAGGGCTTTGTTGGTGCACTGTTCACCCTTCACGGTTCCATTGCATGCTGCTGGTTCCACCTCCCTCAACTTGGTTCGGCTTATGCTAAGGAAAGAAAACCACAAAATTCAGTTTTTAAAAATGCTTTAAAAATCCAGGGTAATTTTTCAACATGATGTCACAACTCTGTAACACCCTCATTATAATATCTATAACATCTCTGGTCACTAAATAAAATGCAAAAGTGAGTTAAAGAAAGAAGGCATTAGCCGGGCGTGGTGGCTCACGCCTGTAATCCCAGCACTTTGGGAGGCTGAGGTGGGTGGATCACCTGAGGTCAGGAGTTCGAGACCAGCCTGACCAATATGGTGAAACCCCATCTTTAAA